TGGTGCTAATAGATCCACATTTATCTGCATAGTGACCTTTATTGGAACTTTTTGTATAACCTGGTCAAAATTTCTCTCCCCTTCAGTCCTGTAGACAGTCTGATAATGATCCTCGATATGGGAAATAATAGCTTCCTTTTCAGTCATCCATTCACCACACACATCCTTAATCCTTATCATTATGTTTCTCTGTCTCCACTGAACAGTGGTTGCATGAAAGAATTTCATATTATGGTCTCCCCACTGAATCCACTTGAGTCTAGATCTTTGCCCCTAGTACTTTTTCTCTCTTTGCCATGCCTTTCCCAATTCTCCCTGTATCTTGGCTATCTCATCATGCTGTACATTGAGAAAACTCTGGTTTTGCATTTCCAAGAGTCTGACTTTTAGATTTTCAATCTGTTTTTTATTGTTTGAGAAATTATTGGAGCTCCATACCCTTAAATCCCTTCCACACACCTTCAGTTTCTGTTGTACCTTGTACATCCTGGATCCCATCATTGGCTTGTTCCAGCTCTGCTTAATGACCTCTGAGCATTGCTCCTCATCCACCCAGAAGGCCACGAATTTAAAATACCTCTTTGGCTTCCCTCTTTGTGGATCCGTATCAATTATCAGTGGCGAGTGATCTGATCCTACTGCAGGTGGCACTACAACCTTTGCATTTGGAAACATCAGTCTCCAGTTAAGTGCTGTCAGAGCCCTGTCTAGCTTTTCTCTAACATTTGCATCCCCTGTTCTATGATTGTCCTACTTGAATTTGCATCCCTTACTCTCCAATTCCAACAGGTTATTTTCATCTAGAAATGCTCTGAAATTTTTCATCTTATAGCCTTTTCTTTCTCTGCTCCCTCTTTTTCATGCTCTGTTACTTGTCATTAAAATCCCTTGTACACATCCAGGGAAGCTCCAATGATCTCCCATAGGCATTCAGCCTTTTCCATTTTTCCCTCCTTTGCTCGTAATTTGGGTGGCCATAAATAAAACTCAGATGCCATGGGCCCACAACACCTCTTGCTTTTATAGTAATATCTATCTGGTTCTGGTTGTACCCATCAATATTCAAGTCAACTTCATTTTTCCACATATTGCATAGACCTCCAGCTAGGCCTACTGGATCGACAACTAATTTTCAATCAAAATCCAGCCTTCTTTTCACCTTTTCAATTGTATTCTCTTTTATTTTGGTTTCACTGAGGCACACTATATGGGAGCTTATATTGGACACACAGGTCCTTTAAAGTAGGAACTGTCAAGGGAGCCCCTAAATCTTGGCAGTTTCATACCACTATTATCATGGTGAGGTTGGGGGCATGGTAAAGCCCGCCTCCTCAGCCTTATGCGGCATCTCTTCTTTCCATTCTACACTAATCTCATGTAGAATCTTCATTTCCATCCCTTCCATTTTCTTGATCAACTGACACCTTTTGAATTTCCGAAATGATCTTCGCACGGTGTGTTGTGTATGTTCCATTACCCTTATTTTCTCCTCCATAGTCGACTGTTTCTCCAATCATGGGTCCTCTGTTTCCACTTCACAGGTCTTTGCTAATTCATATCCTTGCTGTTAGAGGTATTGCTTTAGGGTCAAATGTCTCTATGGGCAGGAACGCTAGTACTCCATCTTCCCTTCTATAGACTTTCCTAGGTCTTCCTTCATGATGTTGTGGCTGAAGTGTTCTCTTAATTGTCAATCCTTGGAAAACATATGACATGCAATAGTCCACTAGCAATTCAGGATTAGAGAGGGGGACAGAACTAACCTCCTTCAGCGTGATGCGCATTGGCTTATTGATTGTTGTTGAGTTTTGAGGGGGTTTTGGTGGCTTTTTGATGCGTTCTTGTTTCTCAACAAGTGGGCTTAAAGGTGAGATGGTTACATCTGAGGTTGAGGGGCTTGTATTTTCAAGAGAATTTTTTGTTTGGTACTGAGGATTTGGTTTTCCATGGGGAGGCCATTCTTTTTCCTGGGTTGGATCATTTTCATGTGGGCTGGGTTTTGGCGTGTAGGTTTCTGTAGTGGGTATCAAGGTTAGTTCTTGAATTGGTGGGTAATGATGGGCTTTGGTTTGGACTAAACATTGAAGTGGGTCTGGGCTATGATCTGGTGACTGTTTTTCATGGGGAGGCCATTCCTTGTCTTGGGTTGGGTCAGTTTCATGAGGGATGGGTTTAGGATTGTTGGTTTTTGTGGTGGGTATCAGTGATTGTTCACGTATTGGTGAGTGTTGATGGGCTTTGATTTGGGTTAAATATTGAACTGGAAACTGGGCTGTGATCTGGTGATGTGATATTTGGGCACACTAGGTTATGAATATCGCAATTTCCTAATAGAATTTTTTGTTTTTGTACCTTTGCAGTGTCGGATTCTGTTTTCTCCTCCTGAATGTAGCCACGTGGTTGTGAATCCTTGTCAGCAATGGGCAGTTGCGAGTGCTCACTCTGCGCCTCAATTCCACCTTCTCTTGTGTTGTCCTCACTGTGCTAGAGTTTTGTTCCCTCACTTGTCCCTATTGATCCAGCCAAAACACGCGCTGCCCCCTTGCATTTCTGATGTTAGGTGACTATCCCAGAACTGGTTTGATACTGCTCGAAGATGGGGACCAAAACAAATATGAGGATCCATTGGCCTAGGAAATCTACAGCTCAACTGATCATGACTTATACGACCACATTTATAACAAAAATCACTAAGCCGTTCATACTTCAGGTCAATTTTCCTGTTTGGATGCTCTCTCCTTGGTAACCAGAAATTCGTAACCAGTGGTTGTGTAACATCGAGCATCACCCTTTGTTCGGAGGTAGTCTTTCCATATTGTCTTCTGTGCAAGACTTTCCACATCCCCTATCGGCCTTCCTAGCGTCTGGGCTATACGAAGGGCATTTTCCGCCATGATCATCTCAGGTGGCATCCAATGGGCTTGTACCTAGAAAGGAGCAGAGTCAAATTTTAGGTCAGAAAGTGTTTGATCTGGGTTCCAGGTCTGGATAATCAACAACTGACCCCTTATGGACCATGATCTCTGTTGTCATATTCTTTGCTTCAAATCCTCATTGGAGAAGATGAAGATGTATGTGTCTTGCTCGCCATCTCTTATATCCACTTGGTTCTCAGCTTTCCATGTTTTCATCAGTATGGCTTTGACAACACTTCGATTGAGGGTTTTTTGGGAAAAATTTTTTCAACTAGGCATGACTGTTTCAGTAAAACGGCAGTGGATTCATCTGATTGCAGGTGTATAATCGGTATGCTGCATTTTTGTGATGGTTCTTGAGGGTCAGAAACAGAAAGGGAAAGGGCATTGGGTTCTGTGGACATTGGGTATTTGTGGTTTCTGAAATCTGGGATTTGTTTGTCGACCTGATATTAAAGGATATGAAAGCTTGAAAAGGCCACGGAGAAAGAGAAGCTAGTTAAAACTTTTATTTTTGGGTTCAATAAAGCAATAAATAAAGCAGTAAAAGGAGGGCACTATTTTTACTACAAAGTCAAGTCTAAAAGATAAAAAAACGAGGAAGGTAGAAAGGTATATGGCTTATCCAATACCTGAAAGGAACATCAAAAGTGATAGAGAAGAGAATCTTCTTCGGGGTCATCGCCATTGCTGGGGAGAGGAAGCTTTATCAGGAGAAAAGCAGAGCACAGAGAGAGGGAGGAAATTAGAACCCACGACTTTGGTATACTCGGACCGTAATTAGTGTTAGTGTGGTAAAATTAATATTTGAATTAATAAAATTAAATATTAATTTGATGAAACTAAAATCTAAATTAAATAAATTGACTTTTAATTTGACAAAATTAAATTTTAAAATGTTAATTTGATGAAATTAGTATTTGTGTGCTGAAATTAATATTTAAATTAATGAAATTAAATATCAATTGATGAAATTAATGATAGTTCACTGTAGTATATTCAATGATATCACTGATTCTACTAGATGTAGTAACAACAACGACTGTAGGTATACTATGCGAAATTCATGATAAACTATAAAGGTATACAGTAATATTTCAAAAATTATAAAGAATGTCCCTACAATTAAGTCAATCTCAAAGCACATGAAAATTTTAAAAAATTTATATTTTCTTCTATTATTTACCATTCTTTTACTAAACAAACAGACCTTTTGATTTTTTCGTTTACAATTCTAAGGACTTTTAGATCAAAAGGTCTAACGGGTGTTTTATCAAATCTTAAAAACACATTTATTCCAAAAAGATAAAAATGCTCACTTATTCAATCGTAATCGAAGTAATGTTGCCAACAAGTCAACCATTAACTAGTTTAAACACCAAAAAAATTGATACAAACTACAAAAAAAAAAAAGTTGGAAATAATATTTTATGACAAATTCTCAAATTTAAATCACCAAAAAAAAAATCAGAATCATTCATTTCTAAATTTTAAAAAGCCAAAAACAATTTATGAAAATTTCAATAACAAAAAATTAGGGTTTTTGAAAACAAACAATTAAAAATCAAATAATCTTCAAGTTTCATGATATTTTTTTTTGAAAAATTTTGCTTAGAAATTTATGAGTAAGAATAAAAATTGTGCCACAAGACCAAACAAACCTCTCAAACAACAACTTCAAGATTACATAGAAGTAGGAGACAATTGTAATTTACACTTTCAAAAATTCTAAAAATTTATGATGAATTATAAAATTTTATGATGAATCATAAGAATTTAGAATCGATAAAATTTTTTGTAGTTATAATTTACATCTCAAAAACATTTAATTTGAACTTAAAAAATTATAATTTTCATTATAAAATTTTTCATACCTTCTAAGGGATAACCATCCTAAGGGCAGACTCTAAACTTAAATTAACTACCGTGACCAATAATCAAATAGGAGGAAGTAGTCGGCGTAATGCTCCTCTCCCATCAGACCTCCACTGCTCCACGCATGGTGCACGTGATCATACCCTCTTCTTCACGTGACCTTTCCCATTTTCTTAACCGGCTTCCCATTTCCCTCTCTCGAAACAGGTCGTGCAAGCACTTTTCGAAACTTACAAAGTACCGACCACCGAAAGCTATTCTTGCATTAAACCCACAAAAAATTCGATCCACACACACACACACACACGAATAAATATACTCAAATGGTTTGTATAAGCGAGTCTGCATGGATGTTATCAAGTTAGGAAACCATTCTCCATTGGACCAGGATGATGTTTTTGTTATGTCTGAGAAATAAATATATTTTTTTATGTTTTGTTCAACGTATGTAGAATTTGTAGTATTCGATGTGCGTGAATTGCGCTGGACCATTGTCTATCTCTGTATAATTTATAGAGTTTCACATGAAGAAAACGCACCTGAATTCGTGGGGGGTTCCAAGCACGAGACTTGGACATGTCTGTGAAAATGCCCCCGTGTCTCTCTCTTGCCGCGTCTCGGTGTTTTTTATTTCGTCCTTTGGTGTCTATCTTAGCTATAAATAGGTAGAGAATTGATCAAATTTGGTGTACGGGTTTGTTCTTGGTACAGAGGTTCTGCGATTGCAAGGTAAAACGTCTCTCTCTCGCTCTCTCTCTCCCCCTCCCCCTCTCTCTCTCTGTGTCAAAGGTGTTTGTTTGCTCATTCTACCATGCTTGCTTTGAAATTTATGTGGTTGTACAGGTTGAAGGCATCAAGATTTGATAGCTTGACAGATTACTGTTTTACATCACAACACAGGGACGGAAGCTTTTTGATTGAATGCCACAAAGGAAGAATTGAATTTTGGATGTAAGAATGGAGGGTGGTAATTTCTTAAGTTGGAGGAAGAATTCTTTGCATTGGCAGGGGAATGTGGACGATCATGAAGAGCTCAAACTGAAAGTAGCATCGGCCTTAGCGTCAATTCCTCAACCAGAAACACCAAAGGAGCCAATGGACTTCTTGTCAAGATCTTGCAGTTTTTCTGCTACTGAAATTTCCAAAGCTCTGGCTCAGAAACGCAAACAGTGCATACTTGACAAGAATTCTCATCCAAGCCCTGAGGCATTTGTCCCACCACAATTTGTTGTAAGTCACAAACTGTTATTTACATATTTTTAATATTTTTTTATGTAATATTAGAAGTAATTATTAGGAAATTATTTAGTAAGTGGGTTAGTGATAGAGTATGTTGCAGGTAATTTTCTAGGTGGCGACTAAGATTGTGGAGTCATGGGTTATGGTAGTTATTAAGGTAATTTTTATTATGAATGAAATGTGACAATGTGTATTTTGAATGTAATATAAACTTTCTGTTGAAGTTTTGGAGATTAGATTATTCAGAAATTGAACCAAGAGGGTTTCACCCCTTGGAATTGGGTTTTCTTCCCCTATTCTATTTTTAGTTTTATTTATATTTTTTTCTCAAAAGTGTACACATAACAATTGGTATCAGAGCAGGCACCATGTCATGAGTTTAAGTCACAGAGGGGTGATTTATAGGCTAGGTTAAAATGTCTTAATACTATGTATGAGTATAGTGCTATCGCGTTGAATATTAGTAGGTGAGTGGAGTTGCCAAAGAGAAAAGGTTGTCGTTGGACTAGTGTCAATAGAGTGGGCCACGTTCAAATAGTTATGAGGTCTAACCTCCCACAAGTCTTGGGACTTTTGGATCAATGGTTGGATTCATAACTTCATAACACAACCAGTTTTGCTGGAATCAAGTGACAACTTATTTGTATATTGTGTTTGATTTCTGGGTTGCATATCTGGGTTGTGCAACTCCAAATGGAATTAAGGTTGAGCTTGAATTCACTAGCTCGAATTTGATCCCGACAACTCAAAACCCCAACCTGAGTATTGTGCCAAATTTAAATCAGGTTGAAATCTTTTTGTCCACACCCAGATGAGTACTTGAAATCTCTGCCTTCTGCCCAACTATAGAACATTCAGAGTTGGTTTCAGGGTGACACACGCCCCAATTTCAACAATCAAACGGCATGTAGTAACCATGTTGCCCAGCAATTGTAAGGTGATTCAGTCCACCTTGTCTAATTCATTTGTGCTTCCTTGCAGTCAGGAAAGGTCATGAACCTAGTTCATGCTCGTAGAACAGGGTCGTTTGGAAGATGGTTCCACCACAAGGAGCATAGTGACAGCACAGTGAAGAAGAAAGATAAGGCGCGCATGGAAATCGCGCACACTCATGCTGCCCTCTCTTTTGCTGGACTAGCAGCAGCATTGGCTGCGGTGGCTGCAGCCAAAAACTGCAAAGGTTCAGAATCAAAAAAGAGCACGGCTTTGGCATCAGCTACAGAGCTCTTGGCATCATATTGCGTTGAGATGGCTGAATCAGCTGGAGCCGATCACGACCGTATTGCCTCTGTTGTCAGATCAGCAGTGGACATTCGCAGTGCAAGTGATCTAGTAACTCTGACAGCTGCAGCTGCAACAGGTATTCCGTCTGTTCTTTCTGCAACACAATACTGTGAATACTTTGAGGAAATTACAATCGTTTTTGTATTTATCCTTCATAATTTCATAGTTTCTTCGTTTCATATAAAAATTGTGCCTCACAACTACATTTATTCTTACCAAATCTACATATATTGGTCAAATTATACAAATTTTCATCTGGTTCTGAACTGTAAAATCGTACCGAATTTCACAGTTTCTGAAGTATTTTCTATTAACCAATGTCATGTTTATACTGAATTAAGCTTTGCGAGGGGAAGCAGCTCTGAAAGCAAGATTGCCAAAAGAAGCAAAGAGGACTGCAGCCATAAGTCCATATGACAAGGGTATATCAGAAGCACATACTGTTGCTGCTTTTAATCATGAAAAGGAAGACTATGATCTTCCCTGTATGGGTGACTTACTGCAACACACCCAAAAAGGTAATTTGCTATACAGTCAAGACTAGGTGTCGCGGACGCTTAATTTCTACTACTGCTATACTATTACTCTATTTTTCTGTTTGCCTACCTCGTTCTTGCCAAGCCAAATTTAATACTGAATCTAATCTTATAACTAATGGAATTCTCAGGAGTCCTAAAATGGAAGCATGTATCAGTCTACATCAACAAGAAATCTCAGGTACATGAAAATGGCTTCGGAGAAAATGAACATGGAATGTCTAACTTCTAATCACTTTGTCACAAAATATGATCTTGCCGTCTCATATGACTTCAATGGCAGGTCATAATCAAGCTCAAAAGCAAACATGTAGGAGGAGCCTTCTCAAAGAAGAATAAAAGTGAGCACTCATCCTTTGTGTTGTGAAATATTTACCTCAACATTGTATATTTAACTATAGGGATCTCCTGCTCCGCTATGTGTTCACTAGGGAGGACAATTTCTGACACGACAAGTAAACACGACTCGAAATTAGCTGGTTATATAGTTGATGATTTCTCGACACGAACCCATAAATGACACAATCTGTTAACATGAATAATAAATGGGTCGGGGTAGTGTTAGTAACACAAAATTGACATGATTAAAATTCTTTCACTGCATTTATCTATCAAATTTGTGCTTTAATCTGATATACTTAATGGTTATCAGGTGTTGTTTATGGTGTCTGTGATGAGGGTGCTGCATGGCCATTCAGAAAAGAAAGGGAAAACGTGGAAGTCTATTTTGGATTAAAAACTGCACATGGTCTTTTAGAGTTCAAGTGCAAGAACAAGATCCATAAACAGAAATGGTTTGAAGGGATTCAAAATCTTCTGCGTCGAATCAGTTGCATTGAAGAAGCCGAACGCTCTCTGAGATTACTAAATATCACCAAGAGCTTTTGACAAGTTTGAGCTTCTGACAATGTGGCCTTGAGGGTTTCATAGTTTCACAATCCTCTTACGATGTGGCATGCAAATTGGATGTAAAGTTGTAAACCTTGGTAAAAGCTGAAGACCCAAGACATTTCTCATAGAGGAGTCCCCCAACCACAAATTTTGTAATAGTAGATCAATCCTTTGTTTCTAATGAATTCTATGAATATATATTCTTTCTTGTTTCGTATATATAATACATAGTCTCCTTTTTATTTTTATATTTGTTTTTTTTTGGAGGGGTAGATATATGTGAACTATAATATTGTAGGGATAATTTTTGTAGAATAACTAAAATGTGTTGAGGTGTGCCTAAATATTCGAATATCATTCGGTCTATGAACTACAAAACTAACATGAGGTTAGAGAAGCCCCATTGTTGAGTCGGGGGAGCGATCAATAAGCGAATGGTCAAGTATATAAAACTAAGAACATAGTAAGAATGTGTGAGGTATGGAACGGAGAGTTCTCGTACTAAGATTTCTTTACTTTTTAGAGTTCAAGGGTAATTATAGAAAAAAAGAGAAACTTCCATATTATACTAATTTTTCATTTGTGAAATTAATCAATGACCGACATCTCTTTTCGAATCTTTGCCCTTGAGTTGTATGTCAGATGATGCAACCCTTTTTGTCATATGATGGGATTCATCACAATTTTGTCCCGTCATTTATGATCATACACTTTTTTATTTATGATTATTTTTATTTACATTTTATTTTTTAAAATAATGATTCCATCCTTTTAACATTATTTTATAGGGTAAATTATACTTTGTGTTCCAAAAGATTTAAAAAATAAATATATTGTATCATTAGGGCATGTGTTATTTGAAGGATAATGGTGGTATAAGGTGGTAAGATTAAGAAAAATAATACGTGGGCCCAATAATATTTTATTTGTTTGTCTTTTTTCGTGTAATACTATTTTTTAGATCGCAATACCGACCCACTCGCTACCGTCTCTGAAACCAATGTATTTGGGCTTATATAAACCTAAGTGGTATTATTTTTTGGGATTTAACCATCAACGATATTAAGAAGATTAATGACTGAATTACCCTTGGCCTTTAATGTTAGTATGAGATTTGACCACCAATGATTTTTTTTTTTTATTAATTTTTTAAAAATATTTCTAATTTTGAATTTTTTTTCTTTGTATTATGTTTAAGTATACGGTGTCACAATTTTTTTTTAAAAAAAATATTTTGAATTTTTTCTTTAGTGTACGGTGTTTTTTTTAAAATTATTTTGAATTTTTTTCTTATATTATGTTTAAGTGTACGATGTCATAGGTTTTTTTTTTTTTTTTTTTTTAATTTAAAAAAATATATTTTGAATTTTTTTCTTCTATTATGTTTAAGCGTATGATGTTACCGATTTTTAAAAAAAAAAAATTTATGAATTTTTTCTGTACATGCATCTAGAACATGCATATATATATCTTTTTTTTTTTTTGTACGGTGTCACCGATTCATAGCATAAGAATTTTGTTTTTATGTGGATTTTTTACATTATCTGGAATTTTTTGGATATAAATTATCATACCATGTATTATACCAAACATCGTGCAAAAGCGTTGCACAAATGGAGTAATGAAATAAATGATGTTAAGAATAAAATTGTATATTTGTTATACAATATGTGATAGAATATATGGTTATTTATGAGACTCGGCATAGTACCTATTGAACTAACAAACATTGGAGGGGATTGAAATATTTTCTATCACCGGTATTAATTTTCAATAATATTGAAAATGTAAATAATATATTTCTCAATACCATGTGTAGCAATCTTCAAAACAAACATGCCCTTAATATATTAGAATTGTTAAAATATGATCGTTTTGTTAGTTTTCGTTGCTCATTCTGTCAAAAGTCATCCATTGTTGTGGACGAAATAAACAATTAAAACTAATATAAGAGTCATATTACAATAATTTTAATATATTGAGAATGTAATAAAAAAAAATAATCTTTAAGGGTATAAAATAAAAACTCTTAGAGTCCGTTTGGTTAGGAATAAAAAAATGATGAAAAGTAAAAATAATAGAAAATGAAGTGAAAAAACAAAAAATAATAGAAAATATATTTTTATGCATGCATTTGGTTAAAATAAAAAATATATGGGAAAGTTTTAAAAAAATGTCATTTTATTATTTGCAAGAAAGGATACTCATAAATTTTTTTTACAATTGTCTAAATTACCCTTTATTATATTAAATCGGTCTAAAAAATAAAAAAATATGTAATTATAATTTAAAGTTAAAAAATTTTAAAAAGTGACTCGAAACCTAATTCTAAGACAATCACTAACACAAAAGTATTTGAGCCAAATTATATGATTAATCAAATTCATACCAAAAATTTTTAAAATTAATAACCAATAAAATATTTTAAGAAAAATAAGAATAAAATGAGAGGTTAGTTATATATCACAATTTTCTTGCATTTCCTTTTTTTTTACAAGAAAAAAAATTTATTTAAGAAAAAATTTAAATATGAAAGAAAAATATTTTTTATATTATTTTCCTTTTCATACTAACAAAACAAATGAAAAATTTTATAAATTTTTTTTCTTACATTTTTTACCATTTTCGCGCTAAACAAACGAAGTCTTAAATCTTTTGGGATAGAAAATGTGATTCCCTCTATTTTATATTATCAAAAATAATAACTCAAGTGGCTCACTTAGAAAAATTGAAGGCATGGGCCAGGAAAATTTGGCTCAGGCAATTCGGGTTTGGGTGGATCCAGATCCTCTTCAATATATATATATATTTTTAATTTTTTTATTGGCACATTATCCACTATTTATGATTGAGAGATTTTCTTGTATACAATAGGTCTCACTGGAATACACGATAAATGATGTACCAAAAAAAATTGAAGAAAAAGTGTATTTGAGAAGATCTCTGTTTAGGGGCAGGTCACGGATCGAAACTTGGCCCATGGGTCAAACAATCTGTTGGTCTGGGCAGGACTTGGGTCCAGAGAATAGCCCATGATCTGGGCCTAGCCGCCTAGGCTACTTAAGGGTCAGGCGTTCACAGAGCACACAGCTTGTACCAGCATACACCAACCATGCCTGTAAGTCTCTCTCTCTCTGTCTCTCTCTCTCTCGTTAAGTTCAATCTGGATTCAGATCTCAGTTCTCACACAACAAAGCTCAAATTACGATCGATGGCAAGACGCCTGATTCTGAATTAGATTACAATTGTACAAACAGGCATAGATGCAATCTTCATCCATTTATGGCTTTGGTTTTACTGTGATGTATGCAGTTGAGGAGAGTTTTAGAGGTGGAACCACCGAGCCCATTGAGGTACATAATCGGAGCAGCCATAATGATGATCGGCGTTGTATTGCCAGTAGGTTACATGATGTTCCGTAACAAGCGTGTCCCCTCCCCCTCTTCCTCTTACTCCAAACAGACGTAGGTGTGCCTTTCTTTTTATTTTTTGCATATTTTATCAAATTATTAACAAGAAAAGAAACCTAGGATTCATTACCGCATGCATAGTTTCAATTTTGTCCATTGTGCATCATATATTTGATTGCAGGTTCCTTAAATTAGGTCAAACTGATACGAGAGATTGATTTGTTGTTTCAGGAACAAAGTTATGACATAGAGGCATATTTAGAAGGCTTGGCTTTAGATTTGATTTGTGGGTCATTAACTGTGATGTTGGTGATAAAGAGGAGTTGGGTAGGTTTTGCTTTTTTTTTGTTGTATTCATATCTATAAATGATATGTTTGTGATTATTTCATTTCATTCTCATCACTGTTTTGTTTTGTTTTTGGAGCTATAGTATTTTTTTTTTTGGGTCCGAATTCTGAACTGTATTGAAGTTTTTAAGGTGTTACCGTGTTAGTACTTGTTTCAAAATATTTGCTTGAATTCTATATTTTCTTGCATCCACTTGAAGTACCTATATATTTTGTTAGAAATCTGGCAGTTATTGACACTGGATAATTTTTTTTTCTTTTTTCTGAAAGATCTACATGGAAGATGCATTAATTTTTGTGTTATAATTAAATTTACCAATCATAGCACAAATGTATACATATACAATGTTAATCTTGCAACTTTTTTTAGAAACTTAAGATTTTGTTTTTGTAGATTGAGAGATACCGGAGATCTTAGAAAAAGTTTAGTAGTAAATGGAGGAATTTCGATACAATTTGTTTCCTCTTCGCTTCATTTAGTTTTAAGCATGCCTATATCTTCCTGTTCGTACATTTCATAGCATGCTTTTCTTGGCATACAAAACATAGAGTACAAAATTGGGGGAAAAAGAGTGCAAATTCAACGAGCACAGTATCCACCACCAAAAGTAGGACTTTGCATTCAAGTTTATCTTCATCCATGCCTTTCTTGGAGTACCACTACTTGAACTATGGCTTATATAGGTTTCTTTTAGTTTCCTTCATATACTTCTGCTTGAATACTGTGTTTCTTTTGCTCCCTGCTATTCAAATGATATTGCCTATAGATTGGCATCATCTGGATATTGATTTTTTGGGAACTTCAGTCAGTTATGAAATGGATTTCCAAGGATGGTTGTTTGTTATCAGGTTTTAGTGTTGAAATTTTCAATTTAGATTCATGATTGGCTTGGATGAGAAGATAGTTTAAATGGGATTGGGGGGGGGGAAATGTGATTTTGTGATGCATTTAATCATGTTTGTAACATGGGATCGTCTGTTATTCAATTGTTGGAATGTTCGGGCCAATTTTATTGAGAGGAAATAAACCAAACCGTTTCGCTTCAAGCTTGTAACCGGAAATTATTGAAACCACTTGAACTTTAGGCATAATTTTTCAAGTGGTGTTCCTGTTTGTTCTATCTAGTTTTGAGTAGGATGTATGCAAGCGAATTATGATCAAATTGTCATTG